CGGCCTGCTGGGCCCCTATCCCTTCATCCTCCCGGCTCTAGTAGGTGAACTGACAGGGGGTGGCACCGGGACAGGCGCAGGTGCGAGGGTCTCAGGCACCTGAGAGAGAGCCCCTCCTTCCCGGCATGAAATTAGCCAAGTTGGGAGGAGGCATTCCTTCTCCGAATGCAGGAGGAGGCTAAGAGGAGAGGAGATGGAGTGGTGGAGATGATAATTGTTTTAACAGTCTCGGAGACTGCGTCAGTCTCTAAGTCTCTTTCCCATTCATGATCTGATTTGATTCCATTTGCTTTCTCATTCATTCTTTCATCTATTCAGCAACTATTTACTGATCATCTTCTATGTGCCTGGCATTATAAGAGCTGGAGACTTAAAAAAAATGTTGGGCATATAGGAACAATTAAAAAGCAGACTCTCTCTCTCTCTCTCTCTCTCTCTCTCTCTCTCTCTCTCTGGTGTGTGTGTGTGTGTGTGTGTGTGTGTGGTGTGTGTGGTGTGTGTGGTGTGTGTGTGTGGTGTGTGTGTGTGTGTGTGTAACTCATTCATTTTAGAGAAATCTATTAGCCTTTGCCTCAGGTTTCCCACCTGTAAAGCACAGAAACCTTGAACAATTCTTAGACTGTCAGATGTGACAACACTGGGCAAGGATCTTTAAAAACCTTCTGCTACTGTGTGAAACAGTGTCATTAATTTGCACCAACTTGTTGCAAAATTCATTCAGAAAACATGTAAATCCTTAAATTATTCCATATTTTAGCTGAGTATAAAATCTGTGTGATACTCGACCGTGGACCACTTCTCTGAACCTGTTTCCTCATCTAAACACAAACAAGGCTGTCAACAATGACTTCTAAGTGGCTTCGTATCCACTGACGCCTATCATTCCGGGAGATGTGCATTGGTTGGGAGAAAGATACCGGTTGTATTTAGGACAGGTTCTTTGGCTCTCATTCTTCTTGCAGTATTTCTATTTCTGTGGATTTTCCTCTGGATTATCCAGTTCAGTGTATGTACACCTGGGGCCCAGTGGCTTCTGTTGCTTTTTTATCTGAGAGGAGAGGATAAAATGGGCCAGTGGGGCAGGAAGGATTGCATGCTGACATGTGATCAAGCCATGGCCCTGGCCCTCTGACTGCTGCTGACCTGATCTCTGGCCTTTAGAGGTGTTTGGGTCCCAGAGCTCAGGGATTCTTTCTGACCTGGCTGTTGTTCTGCATGTCCAGGCCCCCTGCCTTCCAGAGGGCACTGTGCCTGAAGGGCTCTCTTTGAGAGCAAGCAGAGGCTGACAAGACGGAGGATATGCAAAGAGGACCCCCAGGATCCTCCATGTATAGCTGGGAAGCTAGTGACCAGAAAGGGTGTTGAAGAGAGGGGTGTAGGGGGCGGTGCTCAGAATTCTTCGGTTAATCATCTCCATAGCTCAGATAAGACCCTGCCAACTGGAAGCAAAGTCATTGTCACCAGAGGGGTTTGTGTGACTACAGAGGCAGGCAAGACGGAGTGTCCACAGTGTGGGACCATGCCAGGCACAAAACGATATCAGCATGTGATCGAGACCCCTGAGCCTGGCGAGTGGGAGGTGAGACCCTTTTGCAATTTTAGCCCTCTGCACCGATTCCTAGAATAGTTTTAAATTTGGACTGGCGTCAACCCTGGGCTTCTGTTCCATTCCCTCTTCCTCCTCCTCTCTTTTTTGGCTTTTGAGACAGGGTGTAGCTCAGGCTGGCCTCAAACTTGCTACATATCTGAGGATATCCTTGGACTCATCATCCCCCTGCTGTCACTTTCCAAATGCTGGGACAGATGGCACACACCCTGTGATAGGCATCCTTCTACTTATCTTTGCTTGTGATATTCCCTCCCTAATAGGCTCAGGACATCACATGAAGATTAAGATCTTGGTATGTGAATGGTGTGTGTGTGTGTGTGTGTGTGTGTGTGTGTGTGTGTGTGTGTGGTATGTGAATCCAAGCCAAACACTGTGCCTCCTTCCACTCCCACCTCCAGTCTAGCAGGCATAAAACAGACTTTGGCTCCCTGATTCTGCCCCTGTGCCACCTTCTCTCTAGTTGTCAGGATATGAAGCAGCTGTGCCAATCACAGAGAAGTCCAACCCACTGACCCAGAACTTGGACAAAGCAGATGCAGAGAAAATTGTTCAACTGTTGGGGCAGTGTGATGCTGAGATCTTCCAGGAGGAGGGGCAGATCATGCCCACCTATCAGGTGACCCGCAGTCAAACCTTGGACACTGCAAAAGAGGTGCCAAGCCAACCACATCTCAACCTCTACCCTCCCAGGCCATGGCTCCTGATTTTGGAAATCCCGAGCCTTCTCCTCCATCGCAATCCACCATCCTCTGTTTCTTTCATTTTCCCCTCATCCCCCCTTTTCATTTATTTATGTATTTATTTTGTGAGGTGGGGAATTTATTTCATGGGGAAATAGATGGATGTCAGAGGATGACTTTTGGGAATCAGTCTGTTCTTTCACCATGTGGTTCCCAGGGATTGGCAGCACTTTCCTTGGCCACTGAGCCATCTCACTGCCTCCCTCCTATCCTCTTCTTCCTGCTGATTCCTGTCCACTCTCTACAGCGACTGTACAGCGAGTCAGTTCTGACCACCATGCTGCAAGTGGCTGGGAAAGTCCAGGAGGTCTTGAAGGTACTAACTCTCCACTTGTTTCTCAGCCAAACACTTCTGTTCCCTCTGAATCCTCTTTCTTGGGTCTCCATTTCTCATTTTTATAAATCTCAACTCTTTATTGTCTTGGTCTTCCCTTTGGATATTTATTGTTATGTTAGTCATCAATAGTAGTTATGATAATTACTAGATGAATAATACCTTATCATCAGCAGTGCATTTTCCAATTTTGTTTTGCTTTGTTTTTTAAAGACAGGGTTTCTCTGTGTAGCTCTGGCTGTCCTGGAACTCACTCTGTAGACCAGGCTGGCCTCAAACTCACAGATCCTCCTGCCTCTGCCTTCCAAATGCTGGGATTAAAGGAGTGCACCACCACTTCCTAACATACATTTTCTTCTTAAATTATATTTATTATTATTATTATTATTATTACTTAATATCTATGGTTGTTTGCCTGTATATATGTCTGTGTACTACATGAGTAACTGGTGCCCATGGAGGGCAGAAGAAGGTGTTGGATCATTAGGCACTGGAGTTACAGATGGCTGGGAGCTGCCATGTGGGTGCTGGGAATCAAACCTGGCTCCTCTGGAAGGGCAGCCAGTGTCTTAATTGCTGAGCCACCTCTCCGTCCCCAGTGATACACCTTTACACTCAGTACCTTCACAAAAACCTGTGAAGTTGGTATTTTTGTCTTTTTTACTTTTTCTCTTTCCAGACCAGAAAACAAAGAACAGATGATCACAGTGGCTTGCTTGAATGTAGCCAGCTAACAATTATTGGATGCTGCTTTGATTATTTATTTTTATTTAATTGACAAAGCTGCTCTCAAGTCCTTTCTGGAATAAGTAAGAATTTTAATGAATAGCTTAGTCAGAGAGGAGAGCCAAGAAGATTTCTTTCTCCAAATCATTATTCATTTTTGCTACCTCACAGTTCTGCTAAATTTTATGAGGAGAAGAATAAGTAGTTCTAAGTCTTCCTCCATTACTGACAAAGGAAAGAAAAGCATGCTTCTCTCTGAGCTGGGCCCTGGTGAGCTGGGCTTCTGTCCTTCCTCAGGAGCCTGATGGAGGCCTGGTAGTGCTGAGTGGGGGAGGAACCTCTGGCCGGATGGCATTCCTCATGGCTGTGAGTACCCCATTCCCTGTTTGCCCACTTCCTTCTGGGGGATGTCACCCGGAAACATAAGGCTCATGGGAGGTAAGTTCTCTCAGTAGATGTAGTCTCTCCCCACCTCCTTTCCAAAAACTAAAGCCCCACTAGAGCTCCGCCTTCCCCTTGTTAACACCCCACATTGCCTGCATCACTAATCCATCATCCCCAAGTTGCTTAAGTGGCAGATTACAAATAAATTAGGGTTAAAGGATTGGTCTAAAAGACCATTACACATCCTCAACCCTCTAGAAATTGAGAATCCACGTTATGTCTTCTTTATCATTCCCTCTTCATATCCTCTCCTCCTGGACAGGTCTCTTTTAACCAGTTGATGAAAGGTCTAGGACAAAAGCCTCTTTACACATACCTCATTGCAGGGGGTGACAGGTGAGTGGCCTTGACCTGTGCATGTGGCCCAAATGTTTTTTTTTTCCTTTAGAAACTGATTTTGAATGAGTTTAGTCAAAGATTATATTGAACCTACCTCAGTCTCCACAATTCCGTGTTGCCTTATATCTGGCCCCTTCACAGACTTTCACTGCCTACCTAGCCCTTGTAGGAATTTGAGGGTTTTTTGTTTTTTTTTTTTTTATCTTTTTATGGTTATCCAAGACAGGGTTTCCCTGTGTAACAGCCCTAGCTGTCCTGGAACTCACTCTGTAGACCAGGCTAACCTTGAACTCACAGAGATCCACCTGCCTCTGCCTCCTGAGTGCTGGGATTAAAGGCATGAGCCACCAACTGGTGTATCTACACTGGTCCCTGTTAAACAGGAGATGCTCATTCAAGATTGCTTTCCTCTATTCATTTTCTCAGTGTGCCCTTTCCTAAGGAACTATAGGTTTCTGCTTCCTAGCCAGTGCCACTGACCTTGATTGAGTCTGCACCCTTAGGTCTGTTGTGGCCTCCAGGGAACAGACAGAAGACAGTGCCCTGCATGGGGTCGAGGAGTTGAAGAAGGTTTGTGTTTTTTGAAATTACTCACCTAGAGACACCTGTAGCTCCCTTTTCATAGGGTTAGAAAAACCCCAACCTCAGCCAAGGCCTGGCCCCTCGTCTGGCCCTGATTTTCTCACACAACAGATTTGTACCCTGGTGAACCCTTGCTTCCTGTCACCCTAGCTCACACCTCCTCCATTCCTAGGTGGCTGCTGGGAAGAAGAGAGTCATTGTCATCGGCATTTCTGTGGGACTCTCTGTAAGTGTGAAGGCAGCTGATTGGGGCAATTTTACAAGGAAGAAGGGAGTGGGACTAGAATGGCACGGAAGGTAGATTGATGAGGTGGATGCTAGGGAATAGGAAACCTACACAAAGAATTTTATTTTAATTTCCACCAATTTGGATCTATTTTTTTATGGCTATGAAAAGAGGGGGAGGGAATTCCATCCCAGAATAACTGTATTGATTTATAAATGGTCAAGATGGACAGACTAGTCCAGAGGTCAGCCAGCAAACTATGCTGGCAGTTGGTGTAACTAGCTGCCTGAATTTGTGGATCATTTTACTGGCATGTAGTCATCATGTTTACTTAGAATTCAATGACCTCTTTTGTGCTAGGTTTAAGTAGTTGGACAGAGATCATAGGCCCCACACAGCCTGAAGTATTTACTCTCTGCTCTCCACGAAGAGTCTGGCCTCTGGCTTCATCCCCACCAGCAACATTAGCATCAACTGGCACTTGTTAGGAATACTGGCTCTCAGACTCCAGCAGGTCAATCTTCATTTTAACAAAAGTCTCAGGAGGTTTGTATGAGAACCACCAGGCTTGGTCCTGCCAACCCCACAGCAGTTTCGCTATTAAGAGTCCAGGGTGCAGAGCGTTAGATGCCAGCAGTGACTTGGACCTCCAGGAGGTCATTGAAATTACGATTGTGATCAGCAGTTTCCAAACGTCACCATTTTGGAGATATCTATGGAGGAACACAAGAAAAATGTAGCACTAACCGGGTGATTCTTGCTTGTAATCCCAGCACTCAGGAGGGAGAGGCAGAAAGATGGTTGTGTGCCCAAAGCCAGCATGGACTATACAAGAAATCATAGCTCAAAGAAAAGCTAGTACTGGTACTTTTGGGGTACTTGTAAAAAGCATGCTCCCCTACATCAAATTTGGATTCAACAAGTCTTGGTTGAGGCGCCTGCATTTCTAGCAAGCATGCTGGGGCAGGTTCCGTGTGGACCTTGGGAAACACTCAGAATGTGGCTCCTTTATTGTGCCTTCCTCCCTTGCTACCATCAGGCACCCTTTGTGGCAGGGCAGATGGACTACTGTATGGATAACACAGCTGTCTTTTTGCCAGTCCTGGTTGGCTTCAATCCGGTGAGCATGGCCAGGTGAGGCTACTGTTAGGACTTGCCAGGCTTTAGGGGAGCCTGGAAAAGGGACATGTCAAAGTCCACAGTATAATCTGCAGGGAGAAGGCAGATGGATCTATAGTCTTGCTTGCCAGGTCTCAGGGTGTAAAAGCAAATATGGGGTGGTCCCTAAGCTTTTGAAGGTTTTGTTGTTTGCTTCATTTTAAATGGTCTCTCCTTGTTTTGGAAAGGGTGAAAGGCAGCTTACAAATGCTATATAAACCAGGCAGTGGTGGCACACACCTTTAATCCCAGCACTCAGGAGGCAGAGGCAGGTGGATCTCGGAGCTTGAGCCCAGTCTGGTTACAGAGCAAGTTCCAGGACAGCCAGGGCCACACAGCGAAACCCTGTCTTTTTTATGTATTTATTTTTATGTGCATTGGTGGTTTACCTGACTGTTAAAGCATCCTTGGTGATTCTAATACACAGCCAAGTTTGGACTGGATCACTGGATGGCACTGAGCGCTTCCTGTCCACAGGGCATTGCAGTGAGAGAGTCTAGTTCTTTTGGAAGTTTTCTTCCCTGTTCCAACTTCCAGCTTGTAGTGTAACTCATACTGAGTTGTAAATGAGTCTGTGATACTCTTAACCCTGATTCTTTTCATGGAGGACTCTTCTTCACCCAAAATATATCTGCAGCAGCGGGTGCTAATTTCAGGCCCTGTGACTAAGTGAAATGAAGAATTTCAAACAATGTAGGCGTGGAGATCTTCCAGTTGTTCCTTAAAGCAGTGGCTCCCTGTCTTGGCTCATCTTCAGAACTGCCTCGGAATCTTGATAAAAATACAGTTTAGGGCTCTGTGCACATCTGCTGAGGCTAACCTCTGGGTAGGTGTGGTATCCAGAACAAAACAGATCCCCTCCTCCCCCACCCCCGGGGAAATTGAAGTCTGGGAATCCTAATTTTTACTTAACAATGTTGGTGCCTTCTCTGTCCCCTCCTTAGGTCTCTTCTCCTCTCTCTCTCTCTCTCTCTCCCTCTCTCTCTCTCTCCCCCTCCCTCTGTCCCTCCCTCCCTCTCGTCTCTAGGAAGTGTTAGAAATTAACTTGAGGACAGCAATAGAAGGCGCTTTACACAATGGGTATGAAAAAGGTGAAACTTGTCTGCCTCAGGATTCATACAGAAGAAAAATCTATAAAAATAGTTCAAGAAGGGGCTGGCGTGTGCCTGTCATCCCAGTGCCGGGGAAGCAGAGGCAGGAGGATTCCTGGGTGTGCTGGCCAATCAGTCTAGTTTAGTGAGTGACCCTGTCTCAAAAATAGGATGGAGAGTAATTGGAGAAGATATCTGGGGTTGGCCTCTGACATGTGCCTACACAGACATGAACACACACACACACACTCACACACACACACACACACACACACACACTCATACACACACATATACACACATACACACACATTCATATACACACACACTCATACACACACATACACACACACACACAATACACACATACACACACATATACACACTCATACACACATACACACACTCATATACACACACATTCATACACTCATACACACATACACACACTCATATACATACACATACACACTCGAGCATACACACACACTCATATACATACACACACATACACACACACACACACACACACACACAAATAAAATAAATCATTCAAAAAGGGATGGAATCTTGTCAGGGACATGATGATCAGGGACAGTTAGGGATGTCGTGTGCGGGCTTAGCTCAGTCTTTGAAAGAGGCCTTGCTACATTGAGCAATTCACAAATTTTTCCCTACTTCAGAAGACCCTCATTTTTTTGAGATTCTACAATCTGTAGCTAAGCATATAGACTGTACTAGCTCTCTTATCTTATTAGCACATTGCTTCGTTCCTGATTAATTTATATTCACCAGGCGGGCATTGGTGGCGCACGCCTTTAATCCCAGCACTCGGGAGGCAGAGGCAGGCGGATCTCTGTGAGTTCGAGGCCAGCCTGGTCTCCAGAGCGAGTGCCAGGATAGGCTCCAAAGCTACACAGAGAAACCCTATCTCGAAAAACCAAAAAAAAAAAAAATTATATTCACCAACAGATGCTACAGTTAATAGCACAACTTCATACCTCGCTAGGGCCCAACATTCCTCCCTCAGGTAGTAGGGGTTCATGCTTTGGAGAGATTTTCAGATATATTTCCAAGGATGGGAAAGATTTCAAAGGAGTCAAAGATGGAATGTAAGGTGTTAGTTTTGACACTTGACTTCCAGCTAGAACTTTTTTGTTTGTTTGTTTTTCTTTTTCGAGACAGGGTTTCTCTGTGACTTTGGAGGCTGTCCTGGAACTAGCTCTTGCAGACCAGGCTGGTCTCAAACTCATAGAAATCAGCCTGCCTCTTCCTCCCCAGTGCTGGGATTAAAGGCGTGCGCCACCAACGCCTGGCTTCCAGCTAGAACTTTAAACTTGAAAGTTGGCTTTGTTGCTGGAGGTATTATTAACCCAATCTTTGGGGTTCAGAGCCACATCACCCAGATGCTCCAAAGCATATTTCTCTGCTTAGTAGTTGATCTCTGACCCCTCTGTCTCGCTGAGACCTTTCCTTCAGATTCTCACAGGCCGTCCTTTTTTCTTCCGTGTTTCCCTGGACCTCAGAAATGATCCTATTGAAGACTGGAGATCAACATTCCGGCAAGTGGCAGAGCGGATGCAGAAGATGCAAGAGAGACAGGAAGCTTTTGTACTCAATCCTGCTGTTGGGGTAGGCCAGACTCACTTTTCTCTGTGCACTTCTTCAAGCATTCGGGAATTGCTTGTCACTTGCTGGGAATCTTTGATCTTACAGTCCTTGTGCATAAATCCCCAAGGCATTTCATATCAATCCATGTGTTTTCAGTGAAGTCCTATTTTCTCTTTACCTTACAATGTTTTTTTTTTTAAATCTTTATTTTAGCCCTGTTTCTCAGATCAGTAACCAGTAAGCACTTACAGGATCTAGAACAGTCTAGAAGAACTAGAACAGTTTAAAAGAGCCCTTTGCCATCTATACACAGACAGCTTCGACTAACTGCTGTTAGGTCTCATCCAGTCTCGTACACAGATTCAAATGTCAAAAACGGCTTTAAAAATCAGTATGCAGTTTCATTCCTTCTGTTTGTTTGTTTGTTTGTTTTATTGATTTTTTTCCAGACAGGGTTTCTCTGTGTAGCTCTGTTTGTCCTAGAACTCACTCTGTAAACCAAACTGGCCTTGAACTCACAGAGATCCACCTGCCTTTGCCTCCTAAGTGCTGGGATTAAAGGCATGCATCACCCAGAACAGTTTCATTCTTTTTTTTTTTTTTTTATAAAGATTTTATTTATTTTGTATACAACATTCTGCTTCCATGTATATCTGCACACCAGAAGAGGGCACCAGATCTCATAACGGATGGTTGTGAGCCACCATGTGGTTGCTGGGAATTGAACTCAGGACCTCTGGAAGAGCAGCCGGGGCTCTTAACCTCTGAGCCATCTCTCCAGCCCCTCATTCTTATGCCTTTCATTATCCTCTCCACAATGCCTTTGGCCCTCTTAACCTCAGAATTCCTGTTCTTTATTCTTCTCTGGGTCCAGAACACATCTCACTAGTACATCTGTCCCTCCTTTTTTCTTTTATTTTCTTTTTCAAGACAGGGTTTCTCTGTGTAGACCCAGCCATTCTGGAACTTGCTCTGTAGACCAGGCTGGCCTCAAACTCACAGACATCCTCTGGCCTTTGCCTCCCGGATGCTGGAATTAAAGGTGTGCACCACCACTGCCTGGATCCCTACAGTTTTTTTCTTAACTAAAAGTTTTGCTTCCTACCTCCCTTTGTCAGTGGTGGGCACATCTGTGACCTTCCCCTCAATCTTCATGTGAGATAGGGAGGGAAATTCCAAGGTATATATAGCTTGTTCTTGTCTCATGCCTCATCCTCATTCTACTGGTTGGTTTTCTGGTTTTTTTTTTCTTTAAAGGTTTATTTTTAAAATTATTTTTAGGTGTGTGTGTGTAGTGGGGTGTGTGTGTGTGTGTGTGTGTGTGTGTGTTTGACTGCAGGTGACCATGGAGTCCAGATGAGGGCATCAGTTCTCCTGGAGCAGGCAGTTGTGAGCTTCCCATTGTGGGTGCTGGGAACTGAACTCAGGTCCTCGGCAAGAGCAGAGAGCACCGTTAGCCACTGAGCCATCTCAACAGCCCCTAGTCTTCTGCTTTTAATCACTGGCCATGTCATTTTCTTTGCTGCAATCTTTGTGATGAACTGTGATGTCTGCTCCATGTGTCTGTCCAAAGCATGGGAAACTTGGCACTGAGGAATGACAAACTACCATAAAACATGGTGGGGAAGATTCTCAGAAAGAAAAGTATTCTCTGAAAGCCCTTGACCTAAAGACACAATCACTGTGACTTCCTCCTAGAGAGTCTTGGACTCACCATAGAGATAGCCAGAGGTGGCCCTTCTCTTCTCCTTTCAGTTAAGCACACTCCAGCACCCGTTCTTATCAGTCATGGCTACCAGTAAAAGATGTACTCTGGGATCCCTAACCAGAGTGGACATCTAGTGGGGATCCCCAATCACACTCATGCCCAGGAGTCACCAATCACATCCCATGCCCAAGGATCACCAACACCACTCCATGCTCAGGGGTCATGGACTGGAGAACTGGTAGACCCCTGGGTTGTTCTCTTTCTCTCAATTCCTCTTAGTGTCATTGCCTCCTTAGCCAGAGGGGCTCAGCGGCTCTTCCCGAATGAAAGGTGGAAGTGCCACCAAGATTCTGCTGGAAACCCTGCTACTAGTGGCCCATAAGACTGTGGACCAGGGTGTTGTGGCCTCTCAAAGGTATGGAAGAAAAAGACAAGCTGGAGATCAGATTCACGAAGTGGTGACACAGGGGAGGAGATGGGAGATTCAGAGCGCAGAGGCTAGCTTCCAAGACTCACAGAGGCTAGAACCTGCCCTGCTATGACTTTCTTCCCTTACCGGAGTCTCTGGCCCAGCTTCTAGAGTGCTCAAGCCCAACCGCCCACCCTCTTCTTGGCTTTTTGTTTTCTCCCTGCAGCCCTTTGTAAAAGAGAATCTTTTCTGCTCTTATTAATGGGGATCTTTCTCCCTCCTCCTTCCTCCCATTTCCCTCCATCATGGACTAGCAAAACTTTTCTTTTAAATGGGAATTGTGACACCCCCTAAGTGTGGGTAGGGGAACCTAGGTCTTTTGGGGGTGAGGGACACCAGGCCCTCTTTGGGAGCTAGTGAATTTTCTTCCAGATGCCTTCTGGAAATCCTGAGGACATTTGAGCGTGCTCATCAGGTGACCTACAGTCAAAGTTCCAAAATTGCTACCCTGATGAAACAAGTCAGCACCAGGTATGTGGCTGTGTGTTTATAGAGGATGTCTTGAGAGCTGGGGATACTCTGTGAGATGTATTAACATGGCAAGAGTGATGGGTCCTCATGTTGGAAGGCCTTGGGTGTTTACTCTTGTGTTATTCTGTGGCCTCTTTTCATGGTGATTGTTTGTGTCCTGGCCTCTGACGACTCTTTCGCAGCCTGGAGAAGAAAGGCCGAGTATACTTGGTTGGCTGGCAGACCCTTGGCATCATTGCCATCATGGATGGAGTGGAGTGTATCCACACCTTTGGTGCTGGTAGGCCCTAGTCCTGGTGTTCTTTCAGAGTTCCAGCATCCCAGTCAGTTGGTCCACTACCAAAGCATTTTCTTGCAAACCCCTGAGGTTCTCCAGTGCCCATTCTGTCCTACATAAAGAGGCATTTCAGTCAAATGCTTTTTTTCATTTGAAGCACCAAATTCTACCTCGGTCCTTGATATCTCAGTTCCTACCCACCCCAGGGCTCTAACTATAGCTACTTACACAGATCACCATTCATCCTGCATCCCACTCTCTGACCCCGTGACAGCCCTTGAAGAAGAACCTTCCTATCTTATAAAGCCTGCCATTCTTTTCTCTCTCATCTTGAACTCCCCAGATTCCCAAGATGTCCGTGGCTTTCTCATTGGTGATCACAATGACATGTTTAACCAGAAGGCAGAGCTCACCAACCAGGTTGGAAAATGACAGGACTTGGGAAGTTGTAGAACTCATTGGTGTGCAGAGGGCAGTAGAGGAAGTATGAGGGGATAAAAAATTCCGAGAAGGAATGTAGGTCAGAGGTCATGGTGCCTCAAAGCTGTGGAGTATGGAAGGCTCTGGATTTATCCTCTAAAACTTGGCTTCAGTCCACTGACCTGCTACCTATACTACTACTTTGAACACTGATAGTTTTTTCAAGTGAAGTCAAAACGGCTGTATTAGATGTTGTCTATGGTCTCCTTCAGTCTTCTAGTCTGTGCTTTTAAGTGTCCTGCTCGGAGGAACTCTATCTTCTTTTGTCCCAGGGTCCCCAGTTCACCTTCTCCCAGGATGATTTCCTGACTTCCATCCTGCCATCCCTTGTGGAAATTGACACTGTGGTCTTTGTTTTCACCCTGGACGGTGAGAGGGAAAATGGAAATAGTGGGGTTAGAAGCAAAAGTGGAGGAGCTGCCATTTTGAGTCTCAGGGTGCCTTGTCAGAGGGAGGATGTCTTAGTTAGGGTTTCTATTGCTGTGATAAAACACCAAGAACAAAAGTGACTTGGCCAGGGAAGGGTTGGATTTGTTGTTGTTGCTTTAATCTTACAGTTTATAAGTCTATCACTGAGAGAAGTCAGGGCAGAAACTGGGAGGCAGGAGCTGATGCAAAGGCTATGAAGGAGTGCTGCTTGCTCCTCATGGCTTGCCCAGTCTGCTTTCTTATGGCATTCAGGATCCCCAGTCCAGGGGTAGCAGTGTTCATAGTGAGCTGAGCCCATCAATAATCAACCAAGGAAATGTGCCATTGGCTTGCCCATAGGTCAGTCTGGTGGGGGCATTTTCTCAATAGAAGTTCCTTTTTCCAGCTGGGTGTTGGTGGCACATGCCTTTAATCCCAGCACTGAGGAGGGGGGCAGAGGCAAGTAGATCTCTGTGAGTTGAAGGCCAGCCTGGTCTACAGAGCTAGTTCCAGGACAGCTTCCAAAGCAATATGGAGAAACCCTGTCTTGAAAAAAACAAAAACAAACAAAAAAAGGTTCATTTTCCCCAAACAATTCCAGCTTGGGTCAAGTTGGAATAAAACTACCTAACAGAGAGGGACAGACTGAGTGTCCTGGCAGGACCCCAGGGTGGCAGGAAGAACAGCTTCATAGCCTTGCCTTTTAACTCTGATGCTTCCTATCCCATCCAGATAACCTCACAGAGGTCCAGGCACTGGTGGAGCAGGTGAGAAAGAAGACCACAAGCATCCAAGCCCTTGTCCACAGCACTGTGGGGCAGTCCTTGCCAGTGAGTGTCCAGCACTGGGGAGAAGATCTGGGCATGGTTACAGCCAGACCTTCTGGACCCCCCCCACACACACTTATCTCTTTCTCCTCAGGCCCCTCTAAAGAGACTCTTTCCCTCCATCATCAGCATCACATGGCCGCTTCTGTTCTTTGAATATGAAGGGAGCTACGTCCAGGTAGGCCGGGATGAGAAGGCAGTGCCTGCAGGAGAGGAGCCCCCAAAACCCCAAGGCTAGATGGGAAAAAGCCTAAATATTTGTTTGTCTCCTTTCCTCCTCAAGCTGGGCAAATTCCCAAATTATCAGGTTTCTGAAGAGAGTTGCCAAGGCAACAGGGTTCAGTTCTTTCTAGGAATATACAGAAAGGGCGAGGCAGGCCACCAATCACCACACGCTCATTTGTTCTCTGGGACAGGTTGATTGTTGATACTGAAGTCATTATCAGCACCCTAAATCGTCTAAGGCACCTCCTTTGCATGGCACACCATGCTGAACACATTGCAGATATTACCCCTCGTGTGAGAGTGAAATTATAAATCCAGGAGACACACGGAGAGGAATCATAGAACAATGAGCAGTTTGCATGCACTTTTCAGTTTGGTTTGGAGCAGGCACCAGGAAATTCAGGTGCCGATCCAGTTCTGCTGTGAGTCCCAGGAAAGAAAACAAATTTCTATCTCTGGGCCTTATTTTTCTCACAGTCCATCTGCCCACCCTTCATGGGGCAGAACCAGGGCCGAGAAGGGGTGCTGGGGGAGGTGTGGACTTCCATCATTATTCAAATGACTTCCTTCTGGAAGCTTCCAGACTGGACCAGACAGAATCAGCATATAGCCTCACTGGACCCAGAGCTCTGGCTTCATAACTGTCTCTTCCTGGTGCGAAACCCAGCCCCCTTCTCTGTGTTTTGTTCTAAATGGCATTCCTGTGTCATAGCCTTACTTTCAGGCATGCTTCCCACATCACATTCTCTGACATCGCCTGTTTTTGAAGAAGTCTTCTCTGATTAACTTGATATTGTCTTGGCCCTCATGATGCTTAATAAAAATATATCCTAATGAATATTTCATATATATTATCCCAGTTCTCATTTCAACATCTCTCCAGCCCTTATTTCTGTTTTCTTTCTTCCTTTTTTTTTTTTTTTTTTTGAGACAGGGTTCCTCTGTGTAGCACTAGCTATCCAGGAACTCGCTCTGTAGACCAGGCTGGCCTCCAACTCACAGAGATCCGCCTGCCTCTGCCTTCCGAGTGCTGGAATTAAAGATGTGCGCCACCACTGCTTGACTATTTCTGCTTTTAATGCGGTGCCATTTTATTCAAATTTTGTCTGTATCCAAATCTATTAGGTTTTCAATCTTTTACTTGATACTGGCTTCATCTTTCCATATGGAATTGTCTGAAAAAAAAAAAAAAAAGCTTTCTTTGGGACTTTTTCCTAGTTTGCTTTTTGCTGCTATGATAAAACACTGACCGAAAACAACTTGGAAAGGTTAAGACTCTTTGGTCTTATACTTTACAGCCTATCATTTCAGGGAGTTGGGGGCAGGAGCTCCAACTGGAAGCAAGAGCAGAGGTGGGACCATGGAGGAAAACCGCTTCCACTTATTCTCCATGGCTTGTTCAGTTTTCTTAAATTTTCCATTACATTTTACTCTTTGTGTATGTGTGAGTATGTATATGTGTGAGTGTGTGTATGTGTGAGTGTGTGTGAGTGTGTATGTGTGTGAGAATATGTGTGTATGTGTGTGAGTGTGTATATGTGTGAGAGTGTGTATATGTGAGTTACCATGTGGGTGTTGGGAATTAAACCTGGGACCTAAGAGCCAGTGCTCTTAAACAGTGAGCCATCTCTCCAGCTTGGTCTTCACTTTTTTTTTTTTTTTTTTTTTTTGAGACAGGGTTTCTCTGTGGCTTTGGAGCCTATCCTGGAACTAGCTCTTGTAGATCAGGCTGGTCTCGAACTCACAGAGATCCACCTACCTCTGCCTCCCAAGTGCTGGAATTAAAGGCGTGGGCCACCAACGCCCAGCTGGTCTTCACTTTTAATTTGAAACATTTTGCCCTACTCACCAGTCCTTTACTGAATTTACTTCATTCCTTTCTCTCCTCTAGTTCATCTGAAAGATAAGTGAAGCCATCTTACACTTCACACTTGCCAGGCAGAGTGGCACAACAATCCTAGCACTTGGTGGCAGAAGCAGAATCTGGAAGAGCTCAAGGTCATCCCCAGCTACATAAGGACTTTGAAGCCACCCCGAGTTACATGAAACCCTGTCTCAAAAAACAAATCTTCACACCAATCACATCAGAGTACAGCCACTTCCAGCAAGGGCATTTGCTGCTATAAGTACAATATAATTATCCACTCTGGGAATGAAAGTTAATCCCATACCATTACCTAAATCCAGATTTCCTGAGATATCCCTGGGGAAGTTGTTATTTTCCAGATCTAGAATCCAATCAAAGATAATCTGCTGACTTCAGTCAGTAGGCCTCTCTGCTTTTCTTTAACAGTCTTTGGTCTTTTGGCATTTTTTTTTGTCTCTCATGAGAATGATATTTTTAGTCTAAGCAAATCTTTTTCCAGAATGTATCTCACATTTCCAAAATGTACAAACAACTTGCTGTATATTCAGCTTTACATTTGTCTTTGTTTTCTTTGGGAGCATGTCACATTAGGAGTCACCTGGCATCTGTTTGTCTCTTCCTTGGTGAGGCCATGGTGGCTTATTCAGTGGTGGTGATGGCTGCTATGTTTCTTTGCATCCTGTCACCCAGCTGTCCTTAACACTGTGCTGGCATCTGCTGATGAGTTCTGCTTGACTCAACTGTTCCTGTGGTGACTCTCAACTGGTGATTTTCTATTTCTAGCCTTCTTCCTCTTATCTATATTCATTAATTGGCTTTCTTCTCCAAGGAACTTCCTATTCACTCCCTATCCCATCTGTATTTGTTTAATGTCATTATGGACTCATGAATTTTCTGTTGTTGTTAAATGTTTAGATTTTTCTTTTAAAGACAGTGTTTCTATGTAGCCAAGGCTGGACTAGAACTTATCATAAATCCCAGTCTGGCCTTGAACTCATAACCCTCCTACATCAACCTCCTAAATACTGGAATTATAGACATCCACCATCATGCATGACTTAGATGTATCTTAATACTTTTTTATTTAATTTCTGCGTGTTCGAGCAACTGCTTGTCTACATGTGCACTAAGTGTATGCAGTGCCATGGGTCAGAAGAGGGTATTGGATCTTCTGCACCTGAAGTTATAGGTGATTGAGAACCTCCCAGTGTGGATGCTGGGAATCTATCTCAATGCAATGCTAGAGCAGCAAATGCTCTTCACATTGAGTCCTCTCTCCAGCCCCTTAATACACTCTCTCTCTCTCTCTCTCTCTCTCTCTCTCTTTCTCCCTCTCTCCCTCCCTCCCCCCCACAGTTTTTGAGATAGGGTTTCTCTGTATAACAGCCCTGGCTGTCCTGGAACTTGCTTTGTAGACCAGGCTGACCTCCAACTCACAGAGATCCACCTGCCTCTGCCTCTGCCTCTTGAGTGATGGAATTAAATGTGTGCACAATGCATGGCTTCCCTTAATACATTCTATTACTACTTTTTTTTTTTCATTTTAATCCTCAGAACAGGAGCTTTTTCAAGATGGCTTCCTCGGGCCTACTCATATCCATATTTAAACATGCCTTGCATGAGTCATTTTGAAGAAACTAAAAAGAAAACAAACAAACAAAAAAACCCTCTTATTTCTGGGCAAAGGGTGGCATACATTTCACATCTCATGTGCTTTAACATTTTCGGAATATTACTTAACTGCAGTGTACAGATCCCTTCTTCCCTGACAACTGTGGATGTACTTGTATGATACTTGACCTGTCCAATTTCTTATTTGGGGCATTAACTTCTTTTCAACATTTTGCTATTGCTAATAATGAAGTAATGATAATGCACACATTTTTGAGATAAATATCTAGAAATGTTAGGTGTTTGTCAAAGTTTAAATACAAATGTAATTTTGTTGGATGCTGTAAACTTTTCTTCTACAGGCTTTGTATCATTTGCTTTTCACAGCTGGGTTTTTATTAGTGCTGGCTCCAGACAGCCTCCCAGAGAGTTCTGTCTAGTTTCATCCAATTTCTATGGAATTTTCATTTATATTATTTATTGACATTTTGAAGTAGTGGAATGGTACCCAGGGCCTCACACATGCTAGGCAAATGCTCTGCAACTGAGCCACACCCCAGCCTGTATCCCTATGATGTGGGAGTGGAGCATCTTTCCCTCTGCTCTCTTTCCTTCTCCTCCACCTCTCTCCCTGTTCTCTTTTGCTCCCCACTTAACCCTACTTTCAGTTGTTCTGCACCTCCCTATGTAAACTGAGTGGCCTCAGATCCATGATGATCCTTCCCGTCCTGCCTTCAGCATGCTGGGATTACAGATGTCCATCACCGAGCCCAGCATTGACTTCTTTTTCTAACAGGCCTTTAAATCTCTGCTGACTCCCTTGGCCTTGGGTTCTTCATGAAGCCATTAGTGCTCTATTCCTGATACATGTTGTAAATACTTTCTCTTGGCTTTGGTCTGCAAAGAGTCTGCTTCAGTTTTTCGAGGTTGAATCTGTCAATCTCTCCATTGCCATCTGGGGCTTGAAGCACAGAAAGCACCTCCCCTACTGCTGCTGGTATGGCACCTCTGTGTTTCTTCTTGCAATTCTTAGGAACTTTGTTTATTTTGTGTAAGCAGTAAGGTATGGACTCATTTATATTTTCCCAAGCAATTACCTAATTGTCTTAGTTACTTTTCTATTGCTCTGACTATGCACCAGGACCAAGGTGACTTATAAAAGAAAGCATTTAACTGGAGGCCTGCTTACAGTTTCAGAGAGGGATTCCATGGCCATCAGGGCAGGGAGCATGGAAGCAGGCAGGCAGGCATGATGCTGGAGCAGGAGCTGGGAGCTTTTATCTTGAGATAACAACCGAGAAACAGAGAGCGTTAACTGGGAATGGTGGGTTTTTTAAACTTCAAAACCTACCCCCCCCCAGTGACACACCTCCTCCAATAAGGCTCTCCTAATTCTTTCCAAACTGTTCCACTAACTGTGGAACAAGCTTTCAAATATATGAGCCTATAGGGGCCATTCTCATCCAAACTACCACACCGATTGTCTCAGTTTAATTTTAAGTATAGATTGTCTTGAGTGGTGCAGGATGTTGTGTGTGCCATATATTCAAATTCCATGTTCACTGGTCCAATAACAATACAGTGAGTTTGCATGTTTTTTTGTAATGTTAGAGGCAACCTGGATTTTCTGTTTGTTCCACTGGCCTGTCTGTTGATGCACTGGTGCTATGAGCTTAATTATAGAGGATTTATGGCATGTTTAATATTTGGTAGGATTAGTCTTCCCTTAATTAAATATTAAGGACTTTCCTAGCTATAATTGCAGATTTATTTCTCCATTTGAACTTTAAAGCTAATCATGTAAACTTCAAAATAACTTTGTTAGTGATACTTAATGGGATAAATGAGTAACAATATAACTCAGATTTAATTATTTCCTAGAGACTGTATGATAAATGGCATATAGCATCTCTCTCAGGGTTTCTATTGCTGTGATAAAACACCATCATCAAAAGTAGCATGGGAAGAGAAGGATTTATTTCATCTCATAACTCTCAGGGCAAACTCCATCACTGAGTGAAGTCAGGGCAAAAACTAAAGCAGAAACCTTAGAGAATGCTGCTCTCTGGCTTGCTCTCTATGGCTTTCTCAGCTTGCTTTCAATCCCCAGCATTCATGCAACAATGGTAAAAAGTAAATATTTTAAAAAGTGTCCAGTATGCACTCTTCCAAGGGTTTGTGTGACAATCTCACACTCTCAGAAGGACAGGGACCCTGGAGCAGCATTACATGCCACCTCTGCATTCAGCGACACTGTAGCTAGTGGATAAGTCCCAGTACTTAGCTCCTCCCACATTTATGGGGTCTTTGGATTTATGGATCCATCAAAGGTCAAATAAGAAAATTTGGAGGCTGGAGAGATGCCCTAGCAGTTAAGAGTGAAGGGACACCAGCTACTAGGGCATGTGGCTCTGGCAGGCCTTGCCCTTCTTTCCCATTCCCTCTGCCTTGCTAAAACCATTAGATTCCATTCCTAAAGCAAAACCATGAAGGTCTTTTCCTTTATTTGGACATTTGCAATGCCAGACCCTTGAGGATGAGTACCAAAGTCCAGCAATCAAAAGCTCTCTGGTTCACCTAATTAACATGCCCAATAAAATTATCCCACTACATGCCTAGCCCATTCTAACACAGACCTCCCCTTTTACTACTCTTAAAAATTACACCTGCAAGGTCATTTGCTGCTGTTTCTGCCTGAGTCAGAAAGCAGCCACTTTAACATACCCCACCACACTCCACTTAATAAAGGATCTCTCTGTGAAAACAGGTGTTTGGGTGTGGTTTGTGCCTAATCTGGGGTCCCAGAGGAAGCCCCTACTGCTCCGATCTCCTTCAAAGAGCACTTGGTCTTCCAGAGGACCAGGCTCAATTGGCAGCACCCACAGGGCAAACAACTGTCAGTAACTCCAGTTCCAGAGGACGATATGCCCTCTGCTGGCCTCCAAATTCACTGCATACAAACAGTACACAGACACACATGCCAGCAAAACCCCCATACATCTTAAAAGTACAGGTAAATACATCTTTTTTTTTTTTAAAGTAGACTTTTATACTTGAGAGAAAACCAAATCCACAATTGTCTAATTAAAACACAATTTAATAAATATTGACCAGAAAGATGGACACTGGTCAGATCCATACCTGGGATTGCCAGAGAATAGTGATGAATTGGGTTAATCAGGTGTTAATAAGGCAAAACCCACAAGGCAATTTACTTCCTGCCCTTGTCCAATCAGGGGCAAGCATACATCCTGACATACTTCCTGCCTACTTACTCGGCCCATGTGTATGACCAAGAACATCCTGTCAAGTTGGGGCAACCAATTTTGTTTACTGAAATAAGAACGCTTGGCTTATTATTACATGAACAACAGCCCCAACATTCTAGGGAGTTATCTGTCCTTGGGCAAGTGGAGCTTACAGGTTAATTTTTAGCCTTTACGATAATAGAATAAAAAGTAAAAAAGATTGCTAAAGGTTGTTGCATCAAACAAATAACCTGCATTTTGGTGTCCGGTTTCTTAGCAAAAGTTTTCTGTGAGGCCTGGCATTAGTGGCTCAGGCCTTTAATCCCAGCACTCGGGAGGTAGAGGCAGGCAGATCTCTGTGAGTTCAAGGCCAGCCTGGTCTACAGAGTGAGTGCTAGGATAGGCTCCAAAGCTACACAGAGAAACCCTGTCTTGAAAAACCAAAAAAAAAAAAAAAAAACCCGTTTTTAAAAAAAAAAAAAAAAAAAAAAAAAAAAAAAAAAAAAAAAAAATTCTGTTTATAATATGGCTCTCTCACCCTGCTGCTCCACTAGCCTTTTAACTTCTGGTGCTCCCTTGTATTTGCATTTCAGAAGTTCCAGCGTGAACTAAGCACCAAGTGGGTGTTAAATACAGTGAGTTCCGGGGCCTACGTGCTGCTGGGGAAGATCCTACAGAACCACCTGCTGGACCTCCGCATTGCCAATTCCAAGCTCTTTTGGAGGGCACTGGCCATGCTGCAGGTGGGAGCGTAATGGGAGGTCCCCAAACCTAGATTGCCACAGAAGGTGGTCTTTTTTTTTTTTTTTTCAAAGCCAGGGAGGGATGTAGGGTTAAGGGATAGTTTTTCACAGGTATTTCTTTCTTGGGTATATCCTTCGGTCTGCATTGCAGGCACACTTAGGCACACCGAGTGTGAAACTGTAACTACTAGGTGACTTTCTTTAAGTTTCAAGGATGCAATAGAAACCCATCTGGGTGGTGGTGGTGGCACATGCCTTTAATCCTAGCATTCAGGAAGCAGAGGCAGGTGGGTCTCTAAGTTCAAGGCCAGCCTGTTCTACAAAAGTGAGTTCCAGGACAGTTTATGTAGCCGAACAGTTCTAGGACAGATGGATGGACCTAGAATCTTTGGTAAGCTTTGCTTTTTCTCTGAGTTGTTCTCAATTTTGGACCCATTTTCTTCATTGGGGGCCACATTTAGTGCTAGTCTAACATCCCTGACAATATGAGTTTCTGTCGCCGGAGGGAGGGCTCTTATTGGCTTGTATTGGGTCAAAATGTGCACAACTTTGAACCAATCCCTGTCCTCCAGAGGGAAAGGGAACTCCTGCTCATCTGCTTTGTGTACTTTCAAGGCACTGGTGGGACAGGGTGGGAGGTGGGCTTCATTGTATCTTCCCGCATCAGAATGGAAAAAGAAAGGGGCTAATCCCAGAAGGGAGCGAGACTGGATGCTGACCAGAGAGCGTGATGGATTATTGCCTTGAAGGTTGCTTTCCTTGATCATTGATCCATGGGGTTGTTGGATCACAGCTGTAAATCTCAGCAATTCCCATTCATTATGGGCCAGTAATGGTCCACCAACTCTTTAACTCACTGCTTTATACTTGACTACCAGATTTGCTGGAAGTGAAAATTCTCCACAGTGTCTTCAGCCAGTCTCCAGGATCCTGCCACCCCCTCCCCACCCTTTCTCAAAACACTTCCTTCTCCTGTGACGCCATTCTCAGTTCTCCTTGGCATCCAACCTGACACTGACCTTACTGCTGCTTCCACAGCGCTTTTCTGGACAGTCTAAGGCTCGCTGCATTGAGAGCCTCCTCCAAGCCATCCATTTCCCTCAATCCCTGTCTGATGATGTCCGGGCTGCTCCCATCTCCCACCATGTCCAGGTTGCCCACGAGAAGGAGAAGGTATCCTTCCCCCTTGCTGGTGGTTCCACAAATACTTTCCAAGGATCTTGAACATCTTGGGAACTTGGTGTGACACTGACTTACAAAGCTCAGAGATCTCTGCCACGTGGAGC